CAGTAAAAGGCCGCAATGATATTCCGGTCCAGAAGAAGCATAGTTACTCCGGCCCAGGAGAGGTATGGTTACTCCGGTTTAGGAGAGGAGTAATTGCTTCGGCCCTAGATGGTATAAAGCTACTCCGGTCTGGAGGTAACTTGAGTTAGTCCGGTCTCGGAGTTAATCCGGTCGCGGTGTATTGTGGTTAGATCGGCCAGAGCTTGCTACTCAGAAGCTTGGTCTAAACGCATCATCGAGAGTGCAGAGGAGCTGGCTGGGGTAATGGCCGGCCCTGTTTCGACACTTCTATTCACTCCCAAACAATTAATAAACCAAATAGTATTTGGGTCGCCTGCATTTACTCTTCTATTTTACTATTACTTTACCAATCTCCCACAGCTTTACTTCTTTGTTTCCACTTCTCTCTCTCTCCATATTCAAATATCTTCTCTCTCTATATATAAATTACTTCTCTTCTCTTCACAGAAAGGAACTATTCTTTCTCGAGTAAAACTATATCGAAGATGGCCGACAATCTTCTGAGAGCATAAAACTTTGTCTATTTGTCGAGCTTACTGACTTAGGCATCGGAGAGGTTTCCGGCACACACCCGCCGGCTAGCTCACGTTTGTGTTTTCAGGTGATAAAGCGACGTCGTACGGAGGAGTGTGGACTTGGTCAACAGGATTATACGAGGAGAATTATTTCCTCCCCGTACAATATATTTAATATTAGTCTCATTTTAAAAATATCATTAATATCTTATTAATTTTATAAAAATTAAATTTATATAGTAAAAACTATATACATTTTTTTAAAATAAATGAAAATAAAATAAAAAAGGAAAAAGTAGAAAGAAAGAGAAAGTGAGAAAGGACGGTTGGGAAATGGGAAGAGTTACATAAGCAAGACAGAAGAGAAGAAGGAAAATGTTATAAATGTTAAATAATTTATTAAATTTTTTATATGAGTGTAAAATCTACACAAATTTATATGTGTGTGGGTCTTATACTTATGTGAGAAGTTTGATAGAAAATTTGATAAATTATTTAGAATTTCTAATATAATTCAAAGAAGAAATAGGGGGGTGAGTGATGAATTGGTGTGTGACAGGGCAATACCCTGTAATTAAAGTTATCCTATTCATTTATCTTGTAATTACAAAAAGATTCCCAATGATTTGTAGTAGAGTATTGCTATTAGCACTTCATAAATTATTTTGGATCCCTTAATTTCTAATTTTTTTTAATTACAATAATAACCTCAAATAAAATTACTACAAAGAACATCATTAATTTTTAGGCATCCCATCTCACAATCAAATATACACACTTATTACATCTTGAATTAGGATTTATGAGAGTACTTACCTCCATCACCACTCATCCATCTTTCTCAAATCCCACCTTCAAAACCTATCCACCCTCAAAATCTTGAAAACTCTATAGCGGCAATATTCCGACGGTAACGATGGCAACCATTTGCTTATCTATACTTCTCTTGCAATGACAATGAGTAGAAGTTTGTCTGGCAACCACTATTTCATAAGACAAGAGGAGTACAATAATAAAAGCTTGGAGGAGGTTCCTAACTTTGATGTTGTTCTTAACTCAGAGGAGATTGGCCTTGTAAGAGTAAGTTTCTTGAAAAAAATAGTAAAAATAATAAAATCTATTCGTCATTTTTTCGGGACTGAACTCCCAAATATATGACCGAAATTCGGGAACACAGGCCCGAGCATTATTTATTTGTTCGAGAACTGGTAACCAAACATTTTTTATTTGTTTGGAAACAAGTAACCGAACATTATTCATAGGTTCGGACCAGTTTTACTGAGAAAACTAAACCAATTATTATAATTTTTTTCTGCAATAGAAGAAATTATTATAAGAAAACTAAGAAATTATGTGTATGTATATAGAGAGAGAGCATACCAACTATGACAATGGTGGATGAGGCAGTAGAGACAATAATTATATTGCCTCCTCTTCTTCTTTGTGGGCTTTGTTAGGATTTTTTTTGTTAGGATTTTTTTTGGGGTGTGGGTGGTGTGCATTCAAGATGAAATGTTTTCACAAAGATAATTTTGGTATTATCTCGGGGAAAAAAAGAAATTTTAAGGGTTTCAAAATTTATAAGTGGTAGTATAGAGAAATGAGATGTCCAAAATAATTCATGGGGTGCTAATAGTACCACTTTTTATTGTGTAGTTTTTCAAACCCATTTGATAAGTAATTGTCTTAAATAAGGGTGGTTTGGAATGTCCTAGAAGAGAATTAAGAGGTGATTTGGGATGTCCTAAACACTTGCCTTGTGCATGATTTCCCCCCCCCTTCTTAGGCACCGTTTGATATGTTATAATTTTAGTTTAAAAATTAAAAAATTTATAACCTATATTAAAAAGTTAAAGGGTGTGTTTGGTTTGTATTTGTAGAGTAGTTTTTGAGATAAAAAAGCACAAAAACTTGTTTGGTTTGCCTTTTTCTCAAAGTTCTCTCTAAAATAACTTTGATTTTTTTGTAGAGTAGTTTTTGAGATAAAAAAATCACAAAAACTTGTTTGGTTTGCCTTTTTCTCAATGTTCTCTCTAAAATAACTTTGATTTTTTTGTAGAGTAATTTTTGAGATAAAAAATACAAAAACTTGTTTGGTTTGCCTTTTTGTAGAGTAGTTTTTTAGATAAAAGTACAAGAACTTATTTGGTTTGCCTCTTTTACAAACATGTTTCAAAAGTAATCCTGAAAAATGGATAACCAAACACATTTCTGAGAGTTTTTTTAGGAAAATCTATTTAGTTTGATTACTCTTAAAAAAATGTTTGTAGAGTATATTTCTAAAAAATTTCTCCAAAAATCAAACCAAACAAGGTCAAAATTCTCTTTTTTTCTTTACTTTTTGCACATTTTTCTTAAAAAATTAAAAAATAATTTCAAACATATTAATTTTTTTATTTCATATTTTAATTAAAAAATAAAAAAATATTAAAATAATCTATTTGTAAATGAGATCTTAGGCCTCGTTTGAGAACATGCTAATTTAGTAATTTTTTAGCTATTTGGCTAAAATATGATCTAAAAAAAATTAGTATGTTTGGGATTACTTTTTTGGTTTTTTACGAAAAAATGTGCAAAAAGTAGAGAGAAAAGAAAATTTTTGATTTTTTAATATAAATTGTTAACTTTTTAACTAATTAAATAATTTTTTGACTTTTTAACTAAAATGAAGGGCTCCCAAAAGACACCTCAGTGTATGTATTTGTTTTGCCATCAACTTCTTATTATCCCACGTCAAAAAGTCCAAAGTCAACACATTTTTTCATACGGGGAACTTGGTTCACAGATTATTTATTTATTTATTTATTTACTAAAAGACAAAAGTTTTACAAAATTAAAAAAAATGAATCTAAATAAAATATCACATCTAATTTCATAATCATTTTATTTTTTCTCTCATAAATATCACATTCAACCACAAAAAAATTCAATCATCTTCCCAAACACTTAGGGTGCGTTTGTTTGGACGGACTGGATAAGGAGGGATTGTAATCCATCGGACTGTTAGTCCTGGGATACATTATCTCTGGACTATTTGGTCGGACTAGATTTGTATCCTATGTTTGTTTAGTTATGAGATTAGATGTCTGGATTGGACTATTCTATTGAATCCCATGTTTGTTTGGGATATTATGGAGAAGGATAAATATTCAAAAGATTATTTTGTCCTTTTGAATTATTTACTACATAATAAGAATATTAAATCTAAATTATAAATTTTATTTAATTTGTTTACTATAACTTTTAAAATATTAAATAAATAGAATATTAATAAATATTACATAAATTTATACAATTTCAATTAAACACCATAAAATGTATACAATTTCAATTTCAATTAGTCAATTATAAGCACCATAAAGGCAATATATACAATTTCAATTATTCAATTATTCAATCAGGTGGAAATATAAACACCATAAAGGAAAAGAGCTAATAAGGACACTTCACAATTTCTCTGTTTCTATTGCTCTGTTTTTTTCATTTGACAGAACCAGAGTAAAATTTTACTTTTATACAGAGTAAAATTTTACTTTTAGTTTCGAGTGTAACATTTTACTCTTATTCAGAGTAAAATTTTACTTTCATACAGAGTAAAATTTTACTTTTAGTTTCAGAATGTAAAATTTTATTTTCATACAGAGTAAAATTTTACTTTCATACAAAGTAAAATTTTACTTTTAGTTTCAGAATGTAAAATTTTACTTTCATACAGAGTAAAATTTTACTTTGTATGAATCTGCTGCAGTGAAAGCAAAATGGGAAAAGCTAAAAGAAAGATGAGAGGGTCAAAGATATAATAAAGTTAGCCAATCCCATGGGATACATTATCCCATAGATTCTGTCCCAGGCCCCCCAGGGATACAATAAGCCAGTGAATTCCGGATTAATAGTCTGGAGGGATTATTAATCCGGACCAAAAAATCCATACCAAACAACGGAGTCCAATCCCATGAGTTATCCTTCAAAACAAACGAGCTGTTAGGGTATGTTTGGTTTGCATTTGAGAGATGAGTTTTAGAAAAAAATTTCTAAATAATTGTTTGGTTTGAGTTTTTTTCAAAAAATTTTCAAAATCACTTTCTCTCTCTTACACATCAATCAATCACTTTTTCTCTCTCCTCTTTCCTTCACAATCACTTTTTCTCTCACACACATCTACTCAAATTCTCCCAAAATATCAAATCATCCCAAACTCTAAAAAAAACTCTCCCAAAATATACAACCAAACAAACCAAAAAAATTTCTAAACTCTCTCTCCAATTTTTTTTTCAAAAACAACTCTCCTAAAAACAAACCAAACAAGCCCTAAAATTTTTTTATCCAATAATATCCTATAACTAAAAAAAATTTATATAAAAATTCACTTTTCAAACGCTCACAAAATCAAGAAATATATTTATTTATTTAGATATTTTTTTTTTTTAAAAAAATAATAATAAAAAAATAAAAGTCCAAATCTTCTTCCTCCCATTTGGAATCGCAAAATGTCGAAAACAAAAATGTCGAAAATCCCACTCTTCGTTGCATACACGATAACTCCCTCTGCCTTTCGATCACTGTAATAATTTACGACACTTTCTTTCTTCTTCTTCTTCTTCTTCTTCTTCTACTTCTCTCTCTCTCTAGATATATCGTGGGTGGGTGGCTTATTGCAGTAGAAATTAGCCCTAATAAGCAGAAAAAAAAGAACCAGGGGCGTTGAAAAATAAATGTCGTCGTGGTTGAGATCTGCGGTGAGCAAAGCGGTGGAGGTTGGGAACAAGAACAACCTCACTCGCACCGTCAAAAACTATGCCGACACCGTCGTCCAACACGCCGGTCAAGCTGTTGCCGGAGGCGCCAAAATCATCCAAGATCGCATTGTATATTCCATTTCTTTCTTCTTTCCTCCCTTCCATGCTTGTTTGTAGCATTGCAATTTGCGACACTATTTTACTATTTTCTCCCAAAAATATGATCGTGTTTCCTTAGAATTTCTTGTTCATCATCACTCTATGCTAGGTTACTACTATTATAATTGTTAGGGATCAATCTTTCTTCTTTTACCTATCATTCTAATATAAATTTAGTGTTATTGCTAATTAATTGCTGCCTAAACCATAAAACAATTATTGACATTGTGCAAATATCAGCTGAAATTTGGGCTCTGTACTTCCACTGTTATATAAAATCTAATCTATGACATGTATTCATTTGAAAATTAATGTACCAGAATGATACTTGTCTAGTTTCTAGTGATAGTTACTGCAAGTGCAGGTCATTTTGGGAACTTTTATAGGGCGCATGAAAAGTAAACTAGGTGTTTTGTGAAACAAGGGGGATTTTATTATGATGATGAGATTGTTGGGAAAGTGGGAAGAGAGAGATTTAACTTCTACAGTTGGAACTTAAATTCATGTTTCTTGATAAGAAGACGACTCAATCTTCATTTGCTAATTTACTTGTAAAATAAGTACAAAAAAAGGAGGAAACTTCACTTGATAATTTGCAAAAGCACATTGCATCAATTTGTACTATCTTCCCTTTGAAAGGATATATTGGCGTTAATCTACATTTTGTTATGTTGTTACGAGTGTAGGAAACATATATTTTGATGTTACTCCGCTTGGTGTTGTTTTAAGCCTTCGTCTTTATTTATTGGGTATCTTGTTTCACTAGTTATTTGACATTTCTAAGTTGCATTCACATGCAGGGTGCTCGGAATTTCAAAAGCTTTAGGCAGACTCTTAAAAGATTAGAAGAAGCTGCTGTTTCTTGTAGGGGCCCGGAGAGAGCCCAGTTGATGAAAAGATGGTTGGTTGTGCTTAAAGAAATTGAAAAATTATCTGGGGTTTCCTTGGAGGAAAAAGAAAAGAATCCAGAGCAGAATCATCCCTCTGAAGAACCAAAGGAGAATATGAAAAAACCTTCTATGGTGAGTATAATCCTATTTTGTAAAAACTGGATTTTCATCTTGTCAAATTGGTATTAATGATTATGATACTTTTTTTGGGTCTATAATCCTGTAACTCCAGTCTGATTTCATTTGCTTAGTCTCTTTTACAGGCTCTAGGTTAGGCATGCCCTTTGTATTGCTAATAATAATCTTATAAAATTCTTTCTAGGGAATTTAGGATATGAAAATAAGCCACCATTTGTGTTGGGTGGGAGCTTTTCTGTTAATACCATTGTGTAGAAATCTTCATAAAGCCTTTATACTGTGGAAACTATGTAAAAGTTGTATGAGTTGCTCCACAACCATATTCATGACTTCTGGCAAGCTTAATATTAGGATCAACACATTAGGGTGTGGTGACCTAGTTTGGCCTTCTTGAATAATGTACCCATGGATGTGAACCTGAACTATAACGATGCCCCAGGAATAGTAATACATTTTGAATGCCATACAAAGCAAAGAGAGAAAAGGAAGAAACTGAATGAAAGTTCTGGCAAGCTTGGGTAGGATCGACACTGATGAATGCAGGGTGTGCTGGCATAGTTTTATTTAAATTGAGCCCTCTATTGTCAGCTTTTGGTTCAAAGACATATTTTGTGATCCTTGCTTTGGGATATCATGTTACACATCTTACTCTTTTTTCTTTTGTTTCATATTCTTCTAGTGGTGCAACCATATTTGTGCTTGTTCTTTTAAACAATTGAAGAGATTATAGTTTGACTGATTGGAATTTCTTCAGGTCCTTGCTTTCTTTTGTTGAGTCATGATATGCCTTTCAACATGTGAAGTATTGTGGAAATATTCCTGAAGGGTGGATTATTTATATAAATATATATATATATATATATATATATAAAAGAAGACGAAAATAGTCAAAATGCTGGAGAGTGCTTGTAGTTTGTAACTGTTGTTTAGTTGCCATTTCCTCAATGTGAGGAAACCACTCAGCTTCGATGTTGTAATTTGTATTCAAAACACACCAATATTATATGGCCCCAACTTTCTTGACATTTTGTTGGAAAAGGAATATTGATATCGTAATACATTTTGCACTTTCTTGTATCCTTAGATAAGAGAATAAGATAGGAATATTCACCCAAAAAAAAAAAACAGAAAAAAGAATAAGATAGGATTGCATATCATTGGCTTACATTTTTTTTTTGTTGATTACTGGCGAAATGTTGGTCTCTCGCATAAAAAAATATTGACACATGCCATCCTTTGATAAGTTTCTAACTCTTGTTAATTCTGGTTAGGTTTTGTATTATGATCCGGATCTGGGAGGTGAACCAATGAATTTTCTGGATGTTTTTCTGTACAGCCAAGCTTTGGAGGGAATAGCAATATCTATGGTACGTGAAATTAGTTTCTGTCATTTCTGCTTGTTAATTAAAAATAAAATTAGCTAAAGAGAAACATGATGATCTCCTGCAATTTTAGTAATTTGTATATATATAATATATGTACTCTCTAGGATTGATCCACATGATTTGCTCTTATTGTATCTTAAAGTGCTTTGCTTGGTGTAAGCACACCACAAGGAATTTACATGGTCATTGAGAGTGGTGTGGGCCTTAAGAACTTATGAATTATTTTTTCTTTTCTTTAGTCAACTTATCAAAACGACTCACATAAATGAAGAATGATTGATATTGTTTTACTTGCTTGGGATCTCTGTAGTTTTGGTGGTTGTTGTTGAGGTTTTTACATCATAATGGTCATGGGGGTTAACTTGGTTTTTTATTTTTATTTTTATTTTTTTTGTTCAGATTCTTGAAGCACCAAATGAAGAGGAAGTTTCTCTACTCCTGGAATTGTTTGGGTGAGTTTTTCACTATATTCATTTTAGATAATGTATATTTCTGGCTCAACCCAAGTACGAGGAAAGTATATTTTCTTTGTGAGGGCAGGCTGCATTTTGATTATCTGATCCTTGGAGTCAGCTTCAATTGTGTTGTACATTTTTTATTTTTATTTTTTATGTTTGATCACATGCAGGTTTTGTCTTACTGGAGGGAAAGAAGTTCATAATGCTATAGTGAGCAGTATACAGGATCTTGCAAAAGCTTTTTCAGGATACCAAGATGAAGTACTAGTAAGGGCCTGGAATGTTTTGGTACACGTTGGGGATTTAACTGTTAAATGTGCAAGTTTGAGAAAACCCTATGGATGTAAATCAGTACAATAGTTTTTTGGCGGGTGGGTGCGTGGGTGGGTGAATTAAACATTTTTCTTATGTAAATAAGTAAGGCATGTACCTTAAACGTTTTCCTTTCTCGCTTTGGAGGCAGTGAGTTTCCTTGTCGGCTAAGCAAATTCCACCATCTTTGGGGGCCGGGTGCCAAAAAGTTTTTATGTGAATCTATATGGTAAAGTGCTGCTTGAATTTGCAATGGATGCAGAGTTAGAATGAGAGGCGAGAGACATGAAGGAGGAGACCCTGAGTGCTAAAATGGAGATAGTGGTCTCTTAGAAGTGACCCAAGCTCAACCATGCGTGATTGAGGAAGCTTTTATTTTCAGAAGAAAGCCCTATGCTACTTCACAATCAACAAGGAATTTCTAGAAGTCTCATTCGTATAACCTGGTCTCATTTAGCTTTCAATCTGCCTGCCTTATTAGGTTTGAGTCCCAATCACAGGTCCTTTCTTATGTTCACTTGTTTCCTAGTCTAGATCAACTGAAACCCTTGTGCAAGCTGTTTGGTTAGTAGTGACATATTATGCTCTAGGATGCTTTGAAGGTTGTTTAGGATGCTTTTGAGGTTGTTTAGGATGTTTTTATGGTTGTTTAGGGGTTCAAATGATTTGTGCCACCAAGGGATTTATATTTGTTTTGCATAGAAACTCATTTGTTTCGAACCGTCTCAGATGAACTTCCAGAATCTGGATTAAAATGAATATCAGCTGGGGAAGATCAAATTACTCAATACAAATGAAAAGGACTTCGAGGATAATCCTTGATTGTCAATATTAGTGCTACACCAGTGACCTGGAGCAATGACGAGTGCTATCTGCTCCTAGTGCTATGGCATGGGTTCAGTCATGGGAAGCAGTCAGTATCACTAATGAATTTAAGATGCAATGCCTTCACCTTCAATTTGTCTACAGTGAAACTTTGTTTCCTTTACACTTTTGGCCTGTGAATAATGAAGGCCAAGAGATGGGAGGGTCCTAGAAAATGCCTTCAAATACCTCAAAGCAGCCTCTAGGTGTTGTGGAATGCTTTAATAGGACCTGTGCAAACAACCATAAATAGTTCAAGAAAGGTCTGGTGATGATGAACTGATCATGGTGCTGAATGCAAAATTCAATTCTGGAAAATATTTAAATAGAAGTGGACTCCTGTACCTGCTGTGGAACTAGGGGAGAGAGACTATGATCAATAAACATGAGAAATTTTTTGGATGGTTGTAGCATTTATTTTGATAAGTATATTAAAGTGGGCATTAAAAAGGGATGGCATCCATTTACAAAAGGGAAAGCTATACCAAAACAGCTGATACATCTTCCTTTACTCGGAAGACTGTTGGACTGTTTTATAAGTAATATTCACATATTTTTTTTTTATATATATATTTTTAATGTATGGATTGAGTTCTGGAGTCACTTGGAACTCTCTGCTATTTTTAATGTTGCCTTCTTTGCATGGCTGCTCCCCCTCCTAAACTTGTTTCTAAATTATGTATTACATTCTTAGACACAAATTCTTCTTTATTACTATGCTTAAAGCATAGGATGTTGGCTTATAAGTTTATTGGCACTTTTTTATGTCAGGTGAAGCGGGAGGAATTGCTCCAGTTTGCACAAGGTGCCATCACGGGGTTGAAAATTAATGCTGATCTTGAAAGGTAACTAATGTAACCACGCTTTTCTTCTCTTCTTCCCTATGGATGTGTGCACTTGGCTTTAAAGTAGAAACTTTTTTTTTTTTTTTTTTTCTAGTATGAGAAGTGGACATAATTTTGTGTGATGTTTGCCATGTTTAATTTTTTGCTACATTCTAATGTTTATAAAGATGATGACATTAACTTCCTTCCCTATGCTGTATTTCATTTCACCTTTTTTACAATAATATATATGTATATACTCGTTGGTTTAGCATTTTAAAATTCTCTTTTTTTCCACAAAAAAGTCCTGCTGATTTTCTTTATTTTTCTTTGTACATAGGTGTCTGTTTGTAAGAAGGAGGCTTTTGACACGATACATCTGAACACCCAAATTGCCAATTTCTATGGTCACGCTGACTTGTGTCCAATATGCATGATTATAGATAAATTTGCATCTAATGGGATCATTCATTCAATAGTTTTATCGACTCAATTATGAAAATATACTCCCTTTCCCTCGTTAATTGAGGGGTTCCTTGGTCACATGATGAATTTGGAATTCCAGTTATTGATAAATAAACATATGAATTCTTTGAGTAATTTGTCGTTTCTTCATGGTACTTCTCCCTCTTGTAAAAAGTGAAAACCCCACAACAGTTGTGTTTATCAAGTTCTTGCTCTCAGGAAAGGCCTTGGGCTTGCTTGGTGCTGTTTTAAAAAACAAGTTCTCTGAAGTGTGTATTGATTTGATCAAGCTAAATTTAAGGGTGCTATCTAAAAAAAAAAAGGTTAAATTTAAGGGTAAAGCTGTTTTTCTCAGATTCGGTTTGTGCTTCCAGCCTGAAAATGTTCAGTTACCTGCCACCAATTTTTGGTTTAACTGCAGTTGCTAATGCGTAAATCAGAGCTTATATATGTCTGCTTTCTTCTTGCAGAATAGATGCTGAAGTCTCTTCTCTAAAGAGAAAACTTGGTGAAATGACAGCAACCAGGGATTTTATAGGTGAAGGTCATGAAGCAGCCTCCAAAGAAACAACTGTTGCAACAATAGAGGTGATTCTAGTTGCTGTGATCTTGTTCTTTCTCTTTTTACTAAATTTCTGTTTATGATCTTAATGAATTATCACTCAGATGTTAAGCATGTGATTATAATCTTAAATAGAATATTAAACAGTCTGTGGTGCGTTGATTAGTAATTGCATTTAATGTGAATCAAAAAAACATTATCTGGAACCGTAGTTGCTAAAATTGTGATCCGATCATAGCATCTTACGATCCTAAAAGTCAAAATTTGAGATCGTGATAGAGATAGGATTGTATTGGGATTGTGGATTGAGTCATAGGATCCTACAATCCTACTATTTTTGTGAATTGATCTGTTCCTTTTGAATTTTTCTTGCACTTTCCAATTTGTTACATCTTCCGGTTCAAATAACAATAGTAAATAAGGCTCACAACTTGGTAAATGTCGTGATTCAATCTACTAATTTTGATTTACGTCTGCAAAATCCTACATAGTTGAGGAGGTGATTGTTAAGGACAATTTGCATTTAGTGCTCCAAGAAGGTGTCTTCTATTTTTGAAATGTACAAGTTTGATGCTTGTCACCTTGCTTATAATTATTTTTATTTAATTTTTTGGTTATTTGACTTGAGATGTTTCAAGGTAATTTATTCCACACCAAGCCTTCCTCCCCCGTTTATTATTGATTTATGTATCTATTATTCTATTTTATGGCTTTGAGGGCTATTGAAATTGAGGATATTACCAAGAAAGTTTCTCATCACATTTTTTCTTATTATCATATGTATCTAGTAACCAAATGTGAATTGTAATTATTTTTAATTGTTCCTCTCAAAACAAATTTTGTTTTGTGAAAGAGGTACACCGTTGTTTTATTATTTATTAAATTCAATTCAGTTTATGGCTTCATGCTATTGTTTGATCTGTATGATTAGTGTAAGTTTATTTGGGAATAAGGATGTCCTAATTTTAAAAATGCCACATACTTGATAAATTAATTTGAGGGTTTTATTGTTTTACGCATCCATGAATTGTGCGTTGATTATAAAACCCTAGGCAAAAGCAGTAGTCTATGTTTTGAAGGATATACATGAATTTTGCAGCAATAATGGTTTCTTTTCCTTCCTACCTAAATGTGTTAAATCTTTGTTAACTGCGTTGTCTATTATTTTAAGGTGGTAAAGTGTGTTGTGCAGAACACTACAAATGAGAAAGTTGACTTTTTCTATTTTTTTTGTTAAAACTTTGATGTATTATTGATTGATTGTATTGATTGATCTGATACGTGCAGAACACTACAAATGAGAAAGTTGACTTTTTCTATTTTTTTATTTAACTTGTTCTGCACGCTCTTCATGTGCTTCTAGTTTTAGACAGTTCATGCATGCCGACTTCTGTAGTGTTGAATTGATTATCAGAACTGTTATAATTTAGGTGTATTATTATTGGCATTGGTTCTCCAAGCTTTCAAAGGCTATGAAATGTTTTCTTCTAACCCAACAAGAAGGATGGTTAGGAAAACAAAATCACCATGGAAGCGACTCATAGTTCTGATACATTTAATTTAGCACCCACATTTAGTCTAAAACTTACCAATGAAGAAAAAGGAAATGATTTCAACATATTAATTTTTATATAAAAATTTATTGTTATTTTTTGAGGCTTGAGTTAATTAGAAAATAATGATGAGAAATTCCACAATCATTCGTCTGTTTCTTAACTCTATGATGAGTGTAGATTTATGGGCTAGAGAACTAATCATTATAATCTTCTAGTAGGCTCTGAAAGAAGCTCTTGCACATATTCGAGTTTGTTCCAAATTAGAAGGGCTTCTACTGAAGAAAAAATCTGTCAATGGTGGGGACTCTCCAGAGATTCATGCTCAAAAGGTACATCTCTTTCTTGCTTTAGGGTTGTTTTTCTGGAAGTATACATTTATGTTGGTACTGCCTTGTGTCCTGTGTCTGAGACAATAGTTGTGTGGGAGTCACTTACCCAACTTTGGATGCTTTTGAATCTTGCCATAAATGGTTTGTATTCAATGCATGTTTCAGATTTCATTGTAATGCTGTATATATATAGTGTGAATAGGACATTGTTTGGTTGATGTTGTTGGTGCCTGTGCTAATGTCTAGTCTAGAGACTAGACAACAGCAGGGAGTAGGTTCACCATTCACATAATTGTATGGGGAGTAAATCGTCAAGTTATGATCGACATTTTTGACTTGCTTAACAAGGAAGCAAAGGCTTAATTCGCCTAAGATGTGCTGGTACTGCACTTAATTGGCGGACGCAGAAACTTTTTGATATTTCCAGTGGATGCTGGAAACTTTTTTTGTGGCAGGAATAACCTTCTTTCAGATAAACTTTAATTTAATGTCCCCTGCTTACCTTTTACAGTTTTGTTTATACAACCTGTTACTGTATCACAATGAACACTTATTTACTTCATGGTAATGTCTTCCTAGTACTACTACTACCATGTAACTTTGTAAGTCAGTCATAGTATTTTTTTAAGTGGCATATGCTAAGGTCCCTAAAAGTTTGTATGACTGAAGTTCTCTGTTTACAATATTGAGCAGATTGATAAGTTGAAAGTCTTATCTGAATCTCTTGCTAGCTCCAGCACAAAAGCCGAGAAGCGCATATCAGATCACAGGTACAAAATTGCATATAAGAATTGTGTTTGCGTATTCTTTAAAATGAGAAATTCTCAAAGCATTTTGCTAAATACTGAGCTACACCATCTATTACTGTAGAAAACATGCCATGTAATCTTGTTACCAGTACAATTTATAGTTATACCTATTTAGTTACAACTTTCTTTTTTCCTTGGTGCTTTGTTGCCGCATAGGCCATTTTGATGTCATGCTAACTTGTCATCCTTGTGCAAGAATTAAACTGTTTCTTCTTTCAATCTTACGACTATTTTGGTTAAAAATTGCAATCTGAAGTCAAACTGGAGCTCAAAAGGTATGTGGGCTTTTTATGTCTGGGGATAAGTGGGCAGGACCCTCATGTTTCTTACCTTTTGGACCCTGTTTGTTTGCTTTTCATACTTAGATATGAGGGACAGTGATGGTTTTTGTCTCTAGTTTTAAACGGAAACTGGTTTTGTGTCATCCAATGGTAAAACTATTAGTAGCAAACAAATGATTGATGCTTGCTTTCAATTTTTTTTAGAAGTATTTTGGTTAAAATTACAATCTAAAGTTAAACTGGACTTCAAAAGGTACATGGACTTTCTATAGCTAGGGTGTCATGACCCGAACCCGCCCCTATGGGTTAAGGCCATAACCGGCCAGTAATCACGAGATTACCTACGGCCTCAAACTACTAAAACAAAACTCTTCAGAGTAAATGGGCCAAACGGAAGCAAATTTAAAACTTTGTCCATAGAGCTGTGCTTATATGCACACCATCACATTCTAAACATTTATGTGTTAATAACTCATATCAAAATATATACCAACACAGAACATTGTGCATACAGGATTATACAAGTTTACGTCAGTCGAACCCAAGACTTATATACAAAAATAGTCTAATGCTTTTGCCAACATAACAAAAACTACGAACAAAGGACAAAAGCGAAGACAGTCTCGTGCGTGAGACGTTTGGGTTGACTCCTCAAAACTCTGACTGTTTCTCACAATTTCACCGAGACTGGTTCTGGACGTCCCTTGGCTCACCTACATGTACATGAATGAGCGTGAGCGAAAGCCCAGTGAATAATATCAAAAAAGGTAGATACATAAACAATCTTTGAAACAGTTATAGCAGACGGCCTTTGGCCGAATCATTTATGCCAATCGGCCTTTGGCCCAATCATTCATGTCCATCGGCCTTCGGCCCTATCATTCATGTTCATCGGCCTTCGGCCCAATCATTCATATCAATCGGCCTTCGGCCCAATCATTCATGTCAGTCGGCCTTCGACCCAATCGTTCATATTAATCGGCCTTCGGCCCAATCGTTCATGTCAATCGGCCTTCGGCCCAATCATTCATATCAATCGTTGTCCACCACTCAAATTAATGAACTTACAAAACTTATATAGAAGTAAACAATTGGACAACAGTATATTTCAAATATCTTGTTAGGATATTACTCACAGTGATCAGTTTGTGGATTTGCCTTGGAGCTTGACCCTACACATTCCATGAACACAAAAAGGGTCACAAACAATTCGATCCGTTCTAAATTCGCATTTTCCTCTTTAGGCTTCATTCTTGTCTCATTAACTCAATTACAATGCTTAATGCATGCCTAAGAGTACTTAGAATTGAAGGAGAACGGAAAACGAAACACAGAACGCATAAACAAAATTTTAGAAAACAGCGTCCCCGCTCGAGCGGACCCTCGAGGCCTGCAAAAGTACTGGTTATGTCATTTTTACGCTCGAGCGTGGAACTTGGACGCTCGAGCGGAAGGCCTCTCTACATGGCTCCCTGCTCGAGCGGACGCCATGTCTGCAAAAATATGCTGGGAGCTCGTATTTTACACTCGAGCGGAGGATTCCCCGCTCGAGCGGACACCATGAATTCTGGGTTTTCCAGAATGTGTTCTTGAGCTCAAATCCGACCTTCCAAGGTTCAAAACCCATAAATTTGGTTCAAAAACATGCAAACACATTATATAATATGGGCAAATAAGCAAGGTGAGGTCAATTGCTCAAAATCATGGTCCAATTCATCCAAATTAATCTACATTTCTTTGTAAACTCAAGGCTCATACAATCAAACTTTACACAAGTTTCATATCTTCCATAATCAAACATGCATGTCAATTTTTGACCTCATTTCCATTTCAAATCGCACTAATGATGCTCATAAACGATGAAAATCAATAAAATCATGCTTGCATGTACACTTCAATGCTCAATTCTTCACAATTCACACATTACATGCTAGATTATGCAATTTCATAGCAATTATATACATGCATGCATACTTTGACCTTCAATTCAACATAAACAACTCAATTCCTCTCTAATCCTTGCTCTTGATCATTAATCCACTTTGAATACACAAAATTACACATTAAACTCATGGATTCACTTACCTAGAGGCTCAATTCTTCCAATCTATAGCAAATTCTTGAGTAATCTTCCAAAATCTCCAAGCCTCAAGACCAAAACCTCAATCTCCTACACTCTCTCTCTCTAAGCCGGCCCTCTCTTCTTTCTTTGAGTTTATGATCAGCCAAAATGCAACAAAGGAGGAGAAATGAGGGTGTAGTGCCCTTATACAACAATTTCCACTAATTCCATTATAATAATATTAAAGTAATTGTGCACAAATTCCTTAATTAAATCAGTTTAATCTGATCCGAATCAATTTTCAATTAAATTTCACCGTAGGCTCTAAAAATTATGCCAATCACAATGGCGCAATCAATTTTGGTTTCGGTGGCCGATAAGGCCTTCAATTTAATTTCGAAAGCAGATAATCAAACAGATATTTCTACGGTAAACAGATAGAAATTCAAAACCACATATTTTCACATACTTGCACACAAAATCATATTAAACACATAATCATACTCATTTGAAGGACCAATTAACATATTACGGAACAGGGATATCACAGTCTTCCCCCCTTTAAGAAGTTTGGTCCTCCAAACTTAATTTACCTTTGTCGGGAAACAAGTGTGGGTAGCGTAGTCGCATTTCCTCCTCTTTCTCCCATGTAGCATCCGTCCCATAGTGTTCTTTCCATTCCACTTTCACCATTGGGATGGACTTACTTCTCAATTGTTTCACTTGTCGATTAAGAATTCGTTCCGGCCATTCGGCGTATTCCATATTTTCACATGAAACGGGTCTCGGAGGTAACCCCTCAACATCGATACGTAAAACACATTATGGATTTGTTCAAATCCCGGTGGCAAAGCAACTCTATAGGCAACTGGACCAAGTCTTTCCAAAATCTGAAACGGCCCGATGTAACGGGACGACAACTTGCCCTTCTTCCCAAACCTGACTTGGCCTTTAATTGGGGACACACGAATAGACACATGGTCACCGACCTCATACTCAAGAGGCATTCTTCGTACATCTGCATAATTCTTTTGTCGGTCCTGAGCTGTTTTGATCCTTTGCCGAATAGTTTTGATTTTTCAGAAGTGTCTTGCACAATTTCAGGCCCAAGTAAAGCTCTATCCCCGACTTCTGTCCAACATATAGGTGATCTACACTTTCTACCATACAAAGCCTCGTATGGTGCCATACCGATGCTGGAGTGGAAGCTGTTATTGTAGGCAAATTCTACAAGTGGCAAATAGTCTTCCTAACTCCCTTGAAAATCTAAAGCACACATTCGAAGCATAGCTTCCAAAGTCGGTATTGTTCGTTCTGATTGCCCATCTGTCTGTGGGTGGAATGCAGTACTGAACCTTAGTTCTGTACCCATAGCTTTCTGCAAACTTTTCCACAATCTAGATACAAATTTCAGATCTCTATCCGACACAATAGATACCGGAACTCCGTGTAAATGGACAACCTCATCAACATAAATGATAGCCAGTCTATAAGCATTAAATGTAGTTCTAACTGGCAGAAAATGTGCAGATTTAGTTAGTCTATCAACTACAACCCAAACAGAATCCATATCTCGAGGTGTCCGAGGTAGGCCAACAACAAAATCCATGGTCATGTGCTCCCACTTCCATTCAGGAATAGGGAGAAGTTGAAGTAGACCGCCTGGTTTCTGATGTTCAGCTTTAACTTGCTGACACTGAAGACATTTGGACACATGTTCTGCGATCTCTTTCTTCATTTTAGGCCACCAATAGGTTTGTTTCAAATCCCGATACATTTTATTATTACCCGGATGCATAGCAAATACGGATTTGTGGGCTTCATCTAAAACCCTCTTCTTCAGTTCCGGAATATCTGAGACACATTCTGTTCCGAAATTTCAACACCTCATTCTCAATACTGAACTCTGCCCTCGGACTTGTCTCAAATTCATTAATCACTTTCTTGAGGAATTCATCATCTTTCTGTTTCTGCTTGATTTCTTCAATGATTGCCGGCTCGGCTGTAATAGCGGCTATCAATCCGCCCTGTTCACACATTACTACTTCAATTTTGGACTTCTCAAAGTCTTGCAAGATTTCTTTCTGTTCAGTAAGCAAACAAGCCATACTCCCCGTTGGTTTTCTGCTCAAGGCATCACCAACTGTGTTAGCTTTCCCAGGGTGATACTGAATGTCCAAATCATAATCCTTTATCAATTCTAGCCATCTCTTTTGCCGCATATTCAACTCTTTCTGTGTGAAAAAGTATTTCAGACTTTTGTGATCCGTGTAGACTTCACACTTTGCCCCGTACAAATAATGCCGCTAGATTTTCAAAGCAAAAACAACTGCGGTCAATTCTAAGTCATGTGTTGGGTAGTTCTTCTCGTGCGGTCTCAATTGTCGGGAGGCATAAGCAATAACCTTTTCGTTCTGTATTAGCACACAACCCAAACCTTTATAAGACGCATCACTAAAAATTACAAAATTTTCTGTACCTGATGGTAGTGTCAAAATCAGTGCAGTGGTCAATCTTGTTTTCAATTCATGAAAGGCTGATTCTCTTTCATCGTTCCATTCAAAAGGTTGCCCTTTGCGCGTTAGTTGGGTAAGAGGCACAACTATTTTCGAAAAATC